TCATAATAGGGCCATATTTAAATGCTGCCTTGACTGTGGCAGCTGCTTCAGCAGAGCCCTGTCCAACATGCTCCACTATATGGAGGGATTAAGGTGACATGGCAACTTCCTTTGCCACTGTCAATACGAGGGGTTGTTTGCCCCTCTGGACCCACCTGATGTGAGAGGAGCAGCATGCAATCAGACCATGCTGAATGGGCTTCTGCGTTGCAGGAGAGACATAGCTAGTGGAAAGGGCCGTAGCTCAGTGGTGTAGCCTTCTGTTTTACATGCAGAACATCCCAGGTTCAATTCTCAGCATCTCCAGAAAGGGCTCAAAATGTCTCCTGCTGAAAAACCTGGAGAACCTCAGTTTAGGCAATACTCAGGTAGATAGATCAATGATCTGACTCTGCATAAGACAACATCCTAGGAGCATATGGATAATGTTTGAATCAACCCCAAATGACATAGAGAGTCACTGATCTTGCCAGATGACTTCAGCTCAAGCCCACTGCGCACACTGATGTTGCACCTTGCAGCAATTACTTATTTTTATTTAGGTATTTGTTCTATTTATATTTATTCTATTTATAAATAGAATAGAGGAGTTTGAGAAAGTGTAGATGGTTTTCCTAACTCTGTGAGGCAGGTCAGTTGAGAGATCATCTCAACATAGCAAACAGCAAGGAGATTGCAAGAGTGAGTTTTGGTAGGTAACTTTGCATCCTGCAACACAATGAATCATTTCACCTTGGGAAAATCTTATTTAAATACTGACCAGACATGCTGGTTTTGCTTTTGCAACATCTGACAGGATCGCAGCAGAGGTGGCATGGCTGCAGGCGAACAGTTCTTCCTTGTATGGAATTTTTTGGCTTCTCCCATGACGACGGCCCTCAGATCCCTGCTTAGTAACAAAGAGATTTTCCTTCTCTTGAGTCCTCACAACAACAGCCTCACCCACGTAGAAACCAGCTCATCTTCTGCAAATAAGTTTCCCAGAGGTCTCTAATTTCAAGAACACTCTAGTTGCTTTAAGGAGTTGTGTGTTTGTGTGTGTAACAATTGCAGGAATATGACAGTTAAGAATTACATTTAATTACAGCACGAGAAAGCAGCTGTCTTTAAATCCATGATCTTTAAATCTATGAGACTTTTCTTTAAATCTGTGAAATTGTCATTTGAGTCTCCAAAGCTCTTCAATCACATGGCTGGGCATTCTTCTCAATCCTCTCACCCAAAGTAAACAAGCAATATGGCCCGGTCAACGTATTGGAGCTTTGTTTGGGTTCTACACCTGCTGCAAGATATGATAAGAAGTGCTATTTTCTTTCTGCAGGATGGTAGATATCAACTTTACTGACCATTACATACGTAGAATCCTATTGGGAAATGTACTGATTCCAAGATGGCTGTGACATAAAAATGTCACTTTTTTCCATATCTGAACCTGACCAACTAATGTATGAGAGTATGCGTGGTGTCATTTCTGTAGCTTTTGCGGTCAAGGAATCACTGAACATTAAAATACATACTGTTTCAATACAATGGGCTGGATCCAGATTAAGTCAATGTGAGGTCAATGTGAAAGTTGAGGTCAATGTGAAAGTTAGTTGTGACTTACTCAATAGAACCCAAGTGCAACTAATTCAGTATGGATCCAATCCATTTAAAATACAGTCGTACCTTGGAAGTCGAAGAGAATCCATGCTGAAAGTCCATTTGACTTCCAAAATGTTCAGAAACCAAAGCGCAGCTCCTGATTGGCTGCAGGAAGCTCCTGCAGCCAATCAGAAGCCGCGGAAGTCCCATTGGATGTTTGGCTTCCAAAAATAGTTTGCAAACTGGAACAGTCACTTCCAGGTTTGCGGTGTTCAGGAAACAAAATGTTCGAGAACTAAGCTGTTCAAAAAACAAGGTATGACTGTAATCATGTTATAATTTGTGTCTGCTTTCCTTGTTTTTTTTACAGGTGCACTCACCTGATACAATGTCATAACCCTTTGAAATGGAAGCAAATCATATATACTGTACAAAGACCAGGTCTAGATAAGTCAAGTTCTTTCTCACAGCCACCCCGTCCCCCAAATAGATTCACTGACCAATTATTACATGATGCCTCGTTAGTGTTTTCTCAGAGAATTAAAAATATTGACGAGCTACCCACATACATTGATCTAAATAACCTTCATGAAGGCCACAATGGAATGGAAAACACATTTCTTCAAGGAAAGCTATGTTGCATGAAAATGTGCATTGCTCTACAACTTTATTAAGCTGCAAGGAGCAAGAAAAACAGGCAGAAGGGGACATAAATGAGCAACTATCGATCTGGTCCAAGTTTACGCACACGACAAAATAAGATATATGTTTTGCTGCAAATGTTCGGCTTTAGCTCACAATACACAATTAGAATCTAAATGTTCCAGCTTTTGGTGTAGACAGGATGGTCTAACAGTGTGTGACTGAACCACAATATGGCAAACTAATCCCCATGCTGCACTTTGGTGAAACAACCACCTTGGAAGTGAAATATCATACATAATGTTTATTTGGTTTCACAACCAGGGCAAGTGATTTCATGATGAAGAACAGAACAGTTATTATGTTTGAAGGGGTAGCTTTTATTGACGCAATACACTGTATGGAAGATACTATGATGAGAGTGCATGAAACACACTTCTTATTCAAAATGGAGGCGCTTACTGAAATGTACAAAGCACAGATCACAGAACTGCTGAGGACCTACAGTCAAGACCCTTATAATGAGTCCATATCTGGCTGTGTGAAAGTGTTATTTCAGATTTGCCAAAAAATATTGCGAAACATTCAGGAAGAAAGCGCGCACACACACACGTAACATGGTAAATAAAGTTCCTAGAGAATATTACACTGAAAATATACAAACCCCGATTCATGTTGCAAGAGTGATTGGACAAAAAATGTCTGAGCACATCAGTACTTTTAATAGCCAATTGAACAGTCAGCAAATTAAATCTGTACTGCAAGCACTGATTGTTGTTATGAATACGATCCTTTATTGGTCATGCATCAGAAGAATGGATGATGTTATCACTCAAAGTCAACTATCACAATATCACAAACAAATTTGGAAGCAAACTAGAGGCACAATGAGAGATAGCAGACTGACAGAGAACCTCCTTTGCCAGTATCCTTGGTAGTCTTTGAGAAAGTGAGTAAAAAGGAAATTATAGTAACATTACAGAACCTTGCCATGTCGATCTCATATTTAATTTATTTATTTGAAGCATTTCTTAAAACCCTGCTCTGCAACAGAAAAAGGCTCTCAGAGTGGCTTAACAAATATCTGTAATAAGACAGTTGCTCCTTCCATGATTAAAATCAGAAAGACATGACCCAAAAGAAAGTGGGATTGGGGGAGGCGAGCCGGGAGAGGGGAACAAACACAGGGACTACAGTGGTACCTTGGGTTAAGAACTTAATTCGTTCTGGAGGTCCGTTCTTAACCTGAAACTGTCCTTAACCTGAGGTACCACTTTAGCTAATGGGGCCTCCCGCTGCCTCCGCCGCTCAATTTCTGTTCTCATCCTGAAGCAAAGTTCTTAACCCGAGGTACTATTTCTGGGTTAGTGGAGTCTGTAACCTGAAGTGTCTGTAACCTGAAGCGTCTGTAATCTGAGGTACCACTGTCGTTCTTAGTTATAAAGTTCTTATAACAACCAGCTAGAATGGAAACAGTTTGAAGTGAGGAGGAGCAGAAACCTGAGTCGATGGAATGGCTCTGTTCGCCTTCTCCCTTCTGCCAGGGCTTGGTGCTACTGCCAGATGACGCTGAGGAAAGGAGCTGGCTTCTTAGCAGAGGAATACACGTCTCATCTTTCAATGCCTGCTCTTTCAAAGGGTACTTCTACAACTAAATGATCCCCCCCATTTATTTTGTTTGCTTGTTATGTTCCCCTATCATTTTGGTGAGTGTGCCTGTAACACATATTGCATCAATGCAGTGATGTAAAGATAAATGAACCTGCTTCTATTTTACTCAGAATGTATGTGAACACTCATAAACAGATTTCCCAGCCTTGAATACAGGTTCAGATTCATCTCCAGGTATGGCAGGGAGAGAGCCCCTGTCTGAAATCCTGGAGAGCTGCTACCAGTCAGTGTAGATAATACTGAGCTAGATAAAGCCTTAAATACTGTAGATAATACTGACCTATAAAGCCTTATATGGCTCAGGACCACAATACCTCAAGACCACCTCTCTCCATATCAGTCTACCTGGACCCTGTGATCACCATATGAGTTTGGATCTGATATCCCGCTTTATCACTCCCCTTAAGGAGTCTCAAAGCGGCTAACAATCTCCTTTCCCTTCCTCCCCCACAACAAACACTCTGTAAGGTGAGTGAGGCTGAGAGACTTCAGAGAAGTGTGACTGGCCCAAGGTCCCCCAGCAGCCGCATGTGGAGGAGCGGGGAAGCGAACCCGGTTCACCAGATTACGAGTCCACTGCTCTTAACCACTACACCACACTGACACCCTCCTCCGAAGGGTGGCAACACAAGAATGGGCCTTTTCTGTTTGTGGAATGCTTGCTTAGCACCTTCGTTATACACCATTTAAGCGTCAGGTGAAAATGTTCCTCTTCAACCAGGCCTTCGGCTGACTAATATCCTTATATCCTTTTAAAAGTGATTGTGGGAGGGGGTGGGGTAGGAGTGGAGGTTATTGTTTTGCTTTTCTTCTTGTTTTTTCTTCTGCATTTTGTGTTTTTATCCTGTATTTTTATACTGTGAAACACCCTGAGATCTATGGATGAAGGTTGGTATATATTATATATTTATTAAATTAAACAAAACAAAAAACCCCACCTTCTTAATCTAATAAATAAATAAATAGACGGACCAATGGGCTTGGTAAAAAAAACAGCTTCCCGCAGCCCATGTTCTGTCAATACAAGTCTGTCCATTCAGACTTCCCAGTGCAGGTCTTGCTTCTCCTACTCTCCAATGTTTCTTGAGAAGAATGATGGTAGCTGCTTGGGATAGCTCAGTCGGTAGAGCATGGAACTCTTAATTCCAAAGCTATGGGTTCGAGCCCCACCTTTGGCAAAAGATTCCTGCATTGCAGGGGGTTGGATTAGATGACCCTCGTGGTCCCTTCCAACTCTACAATTCTATGACACGTCTGCAACAGAGAGGAGAGGGAATTATTTTCTCTGAGCATTCGGCACTATTGTCTTCTTGAGACAGGAGAACCAACCAGCTGGGCTCTTTATTTATATCAGCGCAGCAGATGGAGGGACCCTGGCGTAGACAGACTCTCTTGCTGCTCCAGTGTTGCATCTCTTCCATTCACCAGATCTGCCACCTAGAGAAAAGTTTCTGGGTGGAAAAAAAACACAAAATAAAACCCAGCGATCTGCTCAGAGCCACCCACACCGAACTTCCGGCACAGCAGAAAGAGAGAAAGGAAAAAAGAGGATTGTGTGCCCTTCCTTGACCCTGAGAGCTTGCTTCCCCATTTCTCTCGGTGAAGTTACAGACCCTCTCGCACAGTTGGTGCACTTTGCTGCAAAAGAGGGGCGGGCGGGCAGGGTGACTCTCCAGCCCCCCCTTCTCCTTTCCCTGCTGGCAGCCAAATAACACATCTTGTCTCCAAGTAATGTTGGTGGTGTATAATTTAGGAGCTATAAATAGATGGATGTTATTAAGAAAAGAAGAAGACGACGACGGAGAAGAAAAAGTCGCACACATATTCACATGGGCCCTCCTCTTCTCTGGCCTTTCCAGGCATATACAGAATCATTGGGGGGGGGTCACATACTTGAAATGTAATCCCTCCCCACCGCTGGGATTGTGCCCCTCCCTTTCCCTTGCTATTCTCCGCCTTCCCTTCCTCAATCTGCGCCTGCCAGCCTTCTTCTGCATTTGCTTTCTCTCTTTTCCCAGCCATCTGTCACAACCCACCTGTTTCTACTCCTCCCCTTTACTTCCTGCCAGCCTCGCCATCTTCCACTTTCTGTCCTTCGTGATCTTTACCAGTTGCATGTGAAGCTCCCACTTGATTTTTTTTCTCCTTTGAAGGAAAAGCGTGAAAGGTACAGATGCACCCAGCAGAGAAAAACGAAGGGGAAGGGAAGTATTAAAGAGAAAGCCCTGGTGCCTGAGAGGCTTTTAAAAGGCTTGCATGTTCTGAAGACAAGCAGCGGTGTCGCTAGGGGTGGGCGTGTGAAGTTTGGGCAATTCCCTCCCCCCCCCCGAGTGGGTGGGTAGATTGACTTTGGGGAAACTGAATTAGGGGGTGATCTTGGCTACCGGGGAGGATATTGATTTAGTAGGAATGAATTATTTTAAGGTCATCTAGCTATGATTTTGGGGTAATGAATGGGAATAACAGAAGGGCTGTTACATTGGAGCATAAATGGAAGATGAACTGATTTGGGGTGAACTGCAGTGGGATGCAAAGTAATTGAAGGATTTACCTGGGGTAATCTGGATGGGAAAATAATATCCTTGTCTTCTGTGATGTTTAAATTCAATTTTTTCATCAATACATATACAGTACATTAACACATGCAAGTGTTATGCAAATGTGTGCATATGGTCCTGTGCCCTTAAGTCTCTTAAGTACCCAGCATTGCCCCTGAGGACAAGACTGGCTTAATTCCTCTTCCTGGCATCTAGATCAGATACAAAGGCTGCAGAGAAGCAGGAATTTCAGGACATGAATCTTTTCATACTGCTGAATGACAGGCTATATCTGTCAAAATCGTTCCTGCTGTGCAATGAGTTAGAGGTCCAGGAGTCCTCTTATACAATTGGTCACCCTGTGTTTAGCCGAAATAACAAAATGGGTGTGGAGCTTAATATAGAGGCTTCTGATAAGCAAAAGAAAAAAGAAAAAAGATGAGAAGGCCTTAAGCCATCCTCCTAAGACCTGTCAAGGGTAGGACAGATAATTCCAAGGTGAAGGCTGGAATTGATTTGACATTAGTATGAACACACCTAGGGCTAACTCAGGAGACAGCTTTATGCAGTGGGTCTATTGTGAGTTTGGTTGTTTCTTTACACAGAGGTCAGATCAGGTGTGCCAACTTGAATAGAATATTGGGGGGGGGGGATAAGCCCCGTCCCACTTAGGACCATCTCACCCAGCAATCTCTGTCCAAGGGTGGCCAGCAGGTGTCCCAGATGTTGTTGGACTACAACTCCCATCATTCATCCCCATTGGGGATGATGGGTGTTGTAATACAACACCTGGGACCCAAGTTCAAAGAATATGGTCCTACACAGTACACAAGCAAAGTGTGATGGCCAAATATTGAAGATAAACAACTCGGTGTGTGTGTGCTTAGCTCAGTTCCATAGTGAACTACCATAGGTAGATCTTTGATCTATGTTTTTTCCTAATTATTTTAAAAAGTTATTAATGCTAGCAATCTTCACACACACACACACACACAGATGGCAACGAATTCTTTAAGTGGATTGCGCACTGCATGTAGAAGAACTTTCTTTCGTTTTCCCTCTGCAACTACTGCCAAAGAGAGTTATAGGATGACGCCAAGTTCTATTATTCTGAGAGAGAACAATTTTTCTCTGTTCATTCTTTCCAAACATATGTCAGAATTGGTTTGGAGTAAAAAGCAACAACTGATCATAATGGCAAACAGCAAATTTGTGATTCCTTTTCCAATGAGCTACCCAACCCTCTGCCCAAAGGATCCTGTCAATCAGCCCTAAGTATCCTTCTAACATTAATTGCCTATCCCAGATCTACCTAGGCTAGTGTCCTCGGCCAGCTTCCCTCCTAATTGTAAGGGAAAAAGTGGTTCTTGCAAACTTAGTGGGGAACAGGAAGATCATCCCAAATGGAAGGTTAATGATGTACCACCTTCTGGCAAATGCACTAGCGGAAGAGTTGTGTGTCTGCACCTGCACAGCCATCCTTGAACACAGAGAAACCTGAAAGGGAAGCTGGAGATATTATAAACCTCCCCAGCCATAGCAGCAATTTCAAGCAAATATTGTCTATTAATTAATCTGTTGTGCAGGAGTCAGGAGATTGTGTTTGGATCTCCCACCCCCTTTGTAATGGTCACCACAGATGCCGTGATTTCTAACGTCACACAAATACTTCAGCTTCTGGAGAAAATCCTCACTTATGCAAATAAAATGAAATGAAATAAAGGTGTCAGCATTCATTTTTAGCACTAAAAAAAAAAGCAGAACATGTTTTCATAATACACATCCTGTCATCAAACAGCCGAGACAAGCTACCTGCCAATTGACATCCTGTAGCGTTTTCTGGAATGTAAGGTGTTCTGTATTTGAGACGACTTGTCAAATAAAGAAAAATGTGTATTTAATATGACAAATAACTTACGCTGCTTTTTTCTCATTTTTTTAAAAAAAGCTTGGTGAGTCTGCCTTTTCCCTGCATTGCATACTGTGAAATAAGCACTTCTGAAATGGTGAGCAGCAATTATTGCCCCACAGATGGCTCAAACACGCAATTGCATGGGAGCGAGTGGCCTTATGCTCCCCTTTTTAGACTGTAGAAGGGGAGGGGGGAGAGATGTGCCTTTTGCATCTGAAATAGGAACGCTGGTTTTTGTGTGTGTGTTTGTTTCCTTCTTCCCCAATATGTGCCAAGCACACTTAAAGAAGAATGGGAAACAGAAGATTCTGGACCCATTCAGAGAGACCTTTTCCATCCCTGACTGCACTTCTCATGAGCAAGCCCCCCACCCCACCCCACATTTGCATTCATCCCCCCCTCCTCTTCTGAAGAAGCGTGATTGCATTTTCTGGCACAGGAAAAGCAATTGTCCCATGCAATCAGGTGTACTGCAGAGGGAAATCGCGTATGTGAGTAAGTGAACAAGCGGAGAGGAGCTAGCGAGATGAGAAGGGAACAGCTCAAGGTTGTGGGCAGCAGCGGTGAGGCCTCCGGAATGTTCAATGAGCCCCGCCGTGGCCCCCAGGGACCTTCCTGGGCGAGGCGAGAGAACGTAGAACAGTCACTGGACTGGAATGTATGATCAACAAAGCTGGGGGATCGGAATAGAATAGATAATGAAAGGAGCCCGGCTAGCGGGAAGGAGGAGCAGGATCTGAGGCCGCTGTAGCCCACAGAGCATTTGCACTGAAGCAGGCACGCTGCCGTATTAAGCCACAGGCATGCGGCTTGCAGATCGCGACAAGAAGGGTCTCCTGTTAGGTGCAGGAGGTAACTAGAGGCAGAGAAAGGACAGAGTGGTTTCAGGAATTCTGGGCAGAGTGTCCCTGAGCATGTGCAGAGTGGTTTCCCCCTTTAGGAAACAGTTTCTCCTTTTGTTTTATTTAAAAGCTCAGATCAACGAATGTAATCCCAAGGTTATAGGAAGCAGCGAAATGGCATCGGAAATGTTGCATGGGTGCAATTCTTAAAGGTGCCCTGCAGGGGTTACCTTGTGAGAGGTTTTCTTCTCAGGTGGCTATACAAGCAGCACCAGGTGAAAACGCCCCCCCCCCTTGCTGCAAGCAGCTCTTGTTACAGACACAGGTTGTACCTTTTAGCGAGAATAAGAAGGAGACGGTGCTTGCATTTCTCTGGCCGGTACAGGATAGGAAATCTCTATATGTAGCAGGGATTCTTCGTGCATATGTGTATGTCTATGTGTGAGAGAGAGCCCATACATGTGTCTGAGTGGTGTGATGTGTGCATATGTATGGCAGCCGCATGAAGTTACAGAAAATCCTACAGGATTCTATGGAAAACAAGCTACTGCAAAACTCTGACAGGCACTTGAAGGGAGCTGCATTTTGGAGGGGACAGGTAGAAAGCGTCATTGTCTCTCACGCAGGGATGGACAGGAACAGTAGGAGTCAGTCACAGACAGCATGATTCTCTGTTCCTCTGCTTTCTGTTTATGCTGATGGAATTTACAGCAATTGGCTATGATCTTTGCTTTTGGCACACACAAAACCTCTTCAATGCAGTAAGTGCAGTATCATATTTATCATCGCCAAGGGGAAGGGTGTAAAATGTACATTTCCCTTCTGTTCCAACCCTGTGGATAAGCAGTATACATTTTCTTGCCTCTGGAAGCTCTCTGTCATTAAGTG